CACATACACACATATGTATGTGTATATGTTTGCACACGGTTATATGTATTTTTTTTTTTTTTTTTTAGTTTACATTTTTCTTTCTACCATTTTCTTTCTTTCTTTTTTTTTTCTCCATTTCTTTTACTGTTCGTTTTCGTTCTTTTTTCGGGATTACTTTTCATCTTTCTTTCTTTGATATTATATTTTTTTCTCTACCTTATTCGTATTCCTTATCTTCACTACCAACTATCGAACACGTAGGGATAAAAATCTCCTGTTAGAAGAGGAAGAAAGAAGAAAAGTATTTGTCGTCATGGCGCATCGAAGCGAATCCTTCAAAGGACTCTGTCTATTGTGTGAGTTTTCTCATTTCTCTTTTATATATATATATATATATCTATGTCCTTTTTTCGTTTCTTTTATTATTTTCTATATCTAGGGATATTTCACAATATCTTATTGAATTATTTTCAAGATTTTGTACATACATTCATTCATACATTCATTCATTCATTCAAAAAAAAAAAATTGAAAATATCAATGAAGATATCAATGAAGATATCAATCATAGAAATTTCGTAGAAAATATATTTTTTTTTAACCTAAATATTATATAAAAAATATATATTATATTTTATATAGATTAATATATATATATATAAAATTATATATGAAATAAATTTATATTATGTTATATATAAAAATTATATATGAAATAAATTTATATTATGTTATGTATAAAAATTATATATAATATTATAGTATAATTATTATATATTAACACACATACAATTTTTTATTTTTATTTTATTAATAATTATTTCTATAATAATTCATAATATATTTTAATTTATAATATATTGTAATTTAATTTATAATATATATATATATATATATATATTTATAAATATGGAAATAATATAATTAGATTTATATAAAAATATATTATATTATTTATATAAAAATTATATAAAAATTATAAATTTATATATATATTATATTATATTATATATAAAATATTATAATATAATATTTTAGAATATATATTATTCACAATTTGTATTTTAATTTTATAAATAATTATTTATATAATAATTTATAATATATTTTAATTTATAATATATTATAGTTTAATTTATATATATATATATATATTTATAGAAATAATATAATTATAGATAGAAAAATAATTTATAGAAATAATAAATTTAGATTTATATAAAAATATATTATATTATATTATATTATATTATATTATATATAAAAATATTATAATACAATATATTATATATATATATTATTTATCAAAATTATATATTACATAATATTATAGGATAATAATTATTCACAATTTTGTTATTTTCATTAATTATTATAAATATAAATATATATATTTCAATATATTTAATATACCTGCATCTTACATACAAACATTAAATTATCATCAACTATAAATAAATCTATTTATTATTCTAACCTCTTAATACACCTGTTTTGTTTTATTTTTCATTGTAATTTCAACATCTTACAAATATTATTAATGAATTACTTTCTAGTTCATTAATCTCAATAGAATTTTTTTTCTCATTTCATATATTCATTCTTAAAAATTACAAAAAAAAAGAAGAAAAAAACATTTATTTATGTTAAAACGTAGCACGGAAATATGGTTTAATTGAAATGCTACCCCTAAACTGAAAATGATCTATCGTCACGCTTAAATTCATTCTCGCGTGTCCTCTCACCCTCTTCTCTACATTTATCCCTTCCAAACACCCATCCACCAACCCATTTCATCCTCAACCTACCACCTACCTGTTTTACCTCCTACCTGTCTTCCTACATTTCTGCTTAATGAAATTTCTCTTTCTATATTCCCTATAGGGTGTGTCTTGGGCAACGTGTTCAGTGTTCCAACTCCAACACCCTCACCCTTAAAATCGGAAGACGTAAGATACACGACACGTAGGATACCAAAAACTATAGTCGATTTACCTACCCAAAGAAGCAGATCACCGATTGTAAGTATTCTACAACGAATAGTTTTTTTATTTTTTTTATTAATTTATTTCATTTTTTGTTCATTTGTTAAATGATAATGATGTATCAAATTGATATGGAAAAGTATTTAATAAATGAAATATAAAATCATTTTATAATTAATCGTAGAATATGAAATTAGAAACACGTAAGTGGTTTTATAGTAAAATGTATTATTAAATGAAGATAGTATTGGTGATTATTTTTTAATTAATTAATTTAAATAAGTTGGACAGTGTATATTCGATTAGTATTGAGAAATAGAACATTGTTATTTAGATAATTGTTAATATAATTATTCGATTTAGGTATTATTATTATTTGTTAGTAATTATTAACTGAATTATTTTTCATATTGAACAAATTATTCTTTAATATCAATTATTTTATTTTATTTTATTTTTATATTAAAGGGCTTTATATTAAAATTATTATTAATTGAAGATAGTACCTTTGATTATTTTTTAATTAATTAATTTAAATAAGTTGGACAGTGTATACTCAATTACTATAAAAATACAATCATTGAAATAATTTTTTCTATTGAACAAAATATTTCTTAATATCAACTATTTGATTTGATTTTATTTTATTACATTTTTTATATTAAATGATTTATATAAATTTTTCTATAACCAAATGTTTTATAACGTTGTCATAATTTTTATCATGCACGTCTAATTGGTCTGAATTATTGACTTGTACTACTAGTACACTCTCTAAGAATCCAAATATACGTTTCTCCATTTATTTATGCACATATAATAATAATTAAATTAATCTTCTTCTACAACATTGTTTCGAGTGTCAATAATTTCAACAATATTAATAAACAAATATATAAATAATATATTTTTATTATAATTTTTATTACAAAAAACAACGTAAGTGTACCGTTTCTCAACATACTTCTGCAAGTATAATTTATAAATAAATCAATTTTTTCGTACACCATAAAAATTCATAAACATTGTTTTCCAGTTTCAATGACTTTAACAATGTCTTACTAAAAAAAAAAGTATATTTTTTTACAATATTTTTTATTGCAAAAACCAACGTAAAATATCCGTGAATCGATGTTGAACTTTGTTCCACAATTCCAAAAAAAAAAAAAAAACAACTCATCTGACAATTGTTTGATCAATTAATTTGTCCACACAAAATGGACTTCTTTTCTTAGTATTGGTGACCTTCAATTAAAAGATTGTATGCTTTTAAGTATACACAAGTGTAAACATTTTGTTTTTTTTTTAATGTACAAATAACCTTTTTCAAAGAAACTGAAAGAAAAGAAAAGAAAAGGGGAAGGGTTGGGATGAGAAACGAAAAGAAAAATGAAAGCCTACGCCTATGATATCATCCCTTAATAATAATAATAATAATAATAATAATAATAATAATAATAATAATAATAATAATAATAATAATAATAATACGTCATAGTTAATAAAGAATCTTACCAGGAAGGTTTTATCATGAAACCAATCAAATCTGATTAACACAACAACCACAAATAGTCGTGCGGTAGGTAAAACCATTGCTAATTTCCCAAAAGAGTTTTAGTTTCAATAATTTTCATTCGATTTTCCATGTAATTTTCCACAAGATTTCAATCTAACGAGCTTTCGTGGTACACCCAAAAGACGATTGTTCATTGAATATGTTAATACTTCAAAGATTTTCTCTCTTTCTCTGTCTGTCTGTCTCTCTCTGAGACTCTAGTTTTCTCTCTTTACACATTTACTTGCAAATTTCATTTTAAAATAAACGAACGAAAGTTAAAGTAAGTAAGAGTTAAACGTAAATTTATTTTTCAGATTTGAAATGTTATTTATAAATTAGATATAATATATTTGATTTGTGTGATTTATTTATACACAATGATTTATTAATAATATGAATTATTAATTAAATAAATTGTTAAAGCAAACGATATTTCATTTTTTTTTTTTTTTTTCATTGAATCAACACGTTTATTTATTATATTATTATTTATTTTTTTTTTTATTATTGTTATTTGATTTTAATAAATTTTTAATTTTATTCTATTATATATATATATATATATATTTTTTTTTTTTTAGATATAATAAAATTAACTTAAATATTCTATATAGAAACAAAAGATTTATATATTAATGTATTTATTATAAAGATATATTATTATATTAATTAAAAAATTATATTATATTATAAAAAAATATATATGTTATATTATATATTTTATAATATAGTATTGGGATCTCTAGGACTTGAATACGCTATCTGGTGTCTAAATTCAAAATTACAGTCAATAGGTCGAATTGCTACGCCACGTGGTGGGATCTGTAGCACTTGAATACGCTATCTGGTGNATTCATTTCTCCCGCCAAAAAATAAAGAAACTGGATTATGCAATACCATGATCAAATGAACGATTGTAATTTGTTTTTATTTTCTTTTTTATTTGATCAATCATTTCGAAAAAAAAAACTTCAAAGAAGAAAATTTGCGTTAGTAGTGTAAATAGAAAGAAAAATTCAAAAGAAAACTTGGTGATTTTTTCTTTTTACAAATTACACATCAAATTCTCTTTCCCTAATTCCAAAAGTTGTCGTGGGTGATGTTATCAGAACACTCGATAAGGGTAGTCACAAGAAAATACGTGGGAGAGTTCGAATGTGGGTGGACGACAGTTAACATTCTAACACATAGAAATGTTTTTAGCAATGGCAATGATCATGAACGACAATTTCAAGATCGTAAAAGGTATCAACAAAAAGGCTTATTCATTCTTTTGTGGTTTTTTTTTAATTTTTATTTTTTTATTTTTTTTTAATTTAATCATTGTGACTAATCTAATTTCTTTGTAGATACACGTCGACATTTTTATTTCATTAAAGGCAAATGAAATTTGTTAAAAACGTTCAAGTTACGAGTTAATAAATTACAATTTAATTACTGTAAAGTTGCATCGTAATTTTCATTTGGTTATATTGTTAACGTTAAATGAACAAAACAAAACTAAAAGCCATAAACCTTTGAACGTAAGAATTATTATGTAATTAAATAAATTACAAAATATAACCTATACGTAGGTGAATTGACAAGTTTTCAACGTTACGAGGAAAACATTTATTTCTTATAATTAAAATAATAATTTATTTTTGTTTGATCGATGTTCAAGCAAACATTTCAAACAAGCCTGCAATGTAATGTCAGAACTATAAATATATTTCCTATATAAACAGGCATTGCGTATTATTTAAAAGTAACAAAGTAAAGGATGATTAAAAAAATAATTAAAAAAAAAAAAAAAGGAAATTAATTTATCTGTCATTTAATTTATTCGAATAATAAAACAAACGAAGAATATCGATAATATCGACATGACATTTTAATTGGTCAATTGAATGAATGTCTTACAAATCACGTGATTAATACGTGAAATATGGCGATAACAAAACTAACCTAAAATGAGAAAAAGGAAAAAAGAATGATTGAGTTATTCGCAGAAACTTTGATTTAGCTATTTCAATCGTCGTTTGTTGAAAATACCAAAATGTCATAAGAGAGTCATGCAATGCGTGGGATGTTACCTGTAATAGGAATAAGTTCTCTTACGATAAAATTCATTCTAACTTCGTATATTTCTGTTACGTGAATAAAAATCAGGTCATGATTTTCATTGTTACGATATTTTTCACACCTGTAATTAATTATAATATTATATACATATATACATATATATATATATATATATATATATATATATATATATAGGTAATTAATTGTATTTACCTATGAA